TGTTCTTAGCCTGACAAAGCAATGCAGCCACCACATCTAAGGACTGCTAAGTTGCAATATGTGATATATTTGCTCTTGTGTTTATTTTCCTTAATAATATAAAGAAGCTCATCTAAAAAGTCATGTTTGAACTGCCACATTCATAACAAGAGTGAAGGGAAAATGCTGGCGTCCATATTGTGAACACATTTATCCCCCTCACCTCACACTAACCTGTGTTCTGGAATTTCTAACAAACCAGTAAGGGAGGCTGTTGCATTATATACATGTGGGGTCTCCTTGGCTCCCTATATGGTCTCTCTTTACTTAATAGAAATAGGATTTTTTCCCCAGAGTACAGGGCACAAAGGTAAAGATGTGGTGTAGACATTGAGGGTTTGGCTGCTAAAAATTTGCTGTCTTGGCTGCATGTTTTAGGAAACGAAAGTGCAGTTAGAACTGCTAATTGAATGGATTAAAAAGCCACCAGGTTTACATGCTTGGGGAATAAAAAGGTTCACCTAATGGACAACTCCCCTAAACCATGTCACTCCTTTCACTCTTTTCAGAGCTTTAGCCTGCAGTTGGCTGAAAACAGGTTACAGGAGTGCAGAATGAACCGCGCTCCTGTGATCCATAGGAGAAGTAGAGCCAAAAAAGGCTTGGCTATACTGTTCCTTCAGCTTGCACATGGCAGCTCATTTATGAGAGATTTCTAGAAGGTACAGAATCTTTAACAAATATTTCTCACGCAATGTGAAAAAATATATCTGTAAAGTTATGTAAATTAATTACAATAAAAACACAGAAATAATCACTAAATCATCACTAATGGATCCAAATATTTTCACGTAAGGCACATAAGAAGTTGAATGAAGATCACTGTATGCAAGTTAAGTGGTGTCCAGTGACTGTAGTATAAATAAATGTTTAACTAAAAACTCTTCCTGCGCCTAGTGAAACACCCTACTATAGGTTCTATCCTGCTGCTGTGCAATGTGATCAACACAAATTGTAAAAAATATATATAAATAAACAGCGCAAATATAGACCTCTATATCAAATCAATATACAAAGTGCAAACATATCTAAAAAATTAAATAAATAGTGAAGTCCATCAAAATTAATAAACACAAAATTCAAAAATAGTTTGTGCAAACAGAAATTTTCAAATTCTTCTTCTATTATAAAGAAACTTCCACCTTCCACCCGTGAAAACCAACATCAAATGCACTCACCAGATTAAGGTGAATGAAACGCCTTTTAGGAATTTATGGGATCCTAAACCCTCTTTGGTATCCACTCTATAGGAATCCTCACCTCCAGCATAGACTCCACCATCCAACCAGGGAGAAAAAAACTCAGATAGTGTAATATTGCAAAACACCATTCATAAGTGAAATCAAGGATTAAGGCCACTCACATTATAATCGCTTTAAAAAGGCATATTTATTAAGACCAGCTTCTTTCCAGATGAACAGCAAATGCAAGGCAACCTCTCACAGAATCTCACATCACAGCTCCAGGTTACACTGTAACCTGGAGCTGTGATGTGAGATTCTGTGAGAGGTTGCCTTGCATTTGCTGTTCATCTGGAAAGAAGCTGGTCTTAATAAATATGCCTTTTTAAAGCGATTATAATGTGAGTGGCCTTAATCCTTGATTTCACTTATGAATGGTGTTTTGCAATATTACACTATCTGAGTTTTTTTCTCCCTGGTTGGATGGTGGAGTCTATGCTGGAGGTGAGGATTCCTATAGAGTGGATACCAAAGAGGGTTTAGGATCCCATAAATTCCTAAAAGGCGTTTCATTCACCTTAATCTGGTGAGTGCATTTGATGTTGGTTTTCACGGGTGGAAGGTGGAAGTTTCTTTATAATAGAAGAAGAATTTGAAAATTTCTGTTTGCACAAACTATTTTTGAATTTTGTGTTTATTAATTTTGATGGACTTCACTATTTATTTAATTTTTTATATATGTTTGCACTTTGTATATTGATTTGATATAGAGGTCTATATTTGCGCTGTTTATTTATATATATTTTTTATAAATAAATGTTTATCTGAAAGGTTTAACTTTGGTAAAAAGTACGATGGCACATCCTACATCAGAAGGAGAAAGAAATGCTACAACTTTCACAATAAGGTAATTCAAAGTCAAGGGAATAATACACAAAAAACATTTCCATGTTGCTGAATATCCCTTAGAATACCAGTAAATCAATAATTAAAGTGAAACTGAAGTTGTGTTGTAAGAAACAGCTAACAGGCAGGCTTTTATTGCATTAGAGACCTTCAACGTCTCTTCGGCAATAAAATGCCCCTAGCTGCCAGCTTGCTGTCTTCTTTGGTGCTGCAAACTGAGCTGCACATGTGCAGCTAAGCTTACAGTGCTAGGCCGGTGACTGGGTGCCGAGATGACAAGCTCTGTGCATCCCCCATTGGCCAATGAAGAGGCCTGAAGACCGACACTGAGGAGATGCCTGTGAGGGACCATTCGGATAGGTAAGCCTTCACCCTTTGGTTTCACTTTCAGATATGAAGAGTATACCGCAACTGTATATATGCCAAGCACTGCCTACCCACCAAAACTGAGCAAGGAAACTAGCGAGAGGTCAACAAGAGAGACATAACCATTCTTGCCCAGAAGAGTTCACAAGTCAAAGCTTTGAAGGAGAGTGACAGAAGAAAGCTGTTGAATCTAAAACACACGACTTTGTCTACAGTTTGCTAAACTACATCTGAGAAACTCTGAAATCAGCCTTTTTGGCGTAAGCACATGATAATAACTGGTATGTAAGGCAGAGTTATGCGAGCGCTACTTTTACAATTCCAGCTGCTAGGACACAAAAAAGTAACCATAAGAACAAATAATCATAGAAATATGTGCAGCGCTGTTATAACAATTGCGCAAAAGGTGCTTGTTAAATGATGATAATATATTCCACCTCATACAAATATTTTAAAATGCAAATCACGCAGACAATATATCAAAATTATGCCATAGATACAATAAATAAAATATAAAGTGCAAAAAACGTATAAGACCACATATGGGTGATTATAGTGGTAAATATGTGAAAGTCCAAAGAATGAACTTGAGGATCATAGCAGATCTCAGCAAAGGTGTTCAACTTCTCTAGATCAGGAGTGACAGATGGTGTGACTAATAATAAGCAACTAGCGCACTCGCCAGATGTGTGCTATAAACACGCATTTGAGATCACTTTAGTCTCATCAGGTCAGCCAGATCATCTACTCCAGGGTATGGTCAGTTTCCTGTTCCCTTCAAGGTCCCTTGATTGGTATCACTGCATCAGGTCACATCTAAAAAAGGCTCTGTGAGTGATGAGACTCACAGAGATCCCAAAGAGGATGCCACATAGCGTGATACTGCTTTTTTAACAAAGGATTTTTATTTCCAGATTAGGTGCATACAACAGAGGTAAAAAAACGACTCATTTTTAGAGGTGACCTGATGCAGTGATACCAATCAAGGGACCTTGAAGGGAACAGGAAACTGACCATACCCTGGAGTAGATGATCTGGCTGACCTGATGAGACTAAAGTGATCGCAAATGCGTGTTTATAGCACACATCTGGCGAGTGCGCTAGTTGCTTATTATTAGTCACACCATCTGTCACTCCTGATCTAGAGAAGTTGAACACCTTTGCTGAGATCTGCTATGATCCTCAAGTTCATTCTTTGGACTTTCACATATTTACCACTATAATCACCCATATGTGGTCTTATACGTTTTTTGCACTTTATATTTTATTTATTGTATCTATGGCGTAATTTTGATATATTGTCTGCGTGATTTGCATTTTAAAATATTTGTATGAGGTGGAATATATTATCATTTAACAAGCACCTTTTGCACAATTGTTATAACAGCGCTGCACATATTTCTATGATTACATGATAAGAACTGCCCCATTCCTAACATTATGGATCATGCTATGGAGATGCTTCTTTACATCAGATCAGGCCCTGTAAGGATTTTGAAGGTATAAAGTATAAAAGACATACAGCTAATACAAATATTGTTTATACTCTTACAGTTTGTTTTCTTTAGAAATCAGCTAATGAATGTGTACAAAAACGTGTCCCCTGTCAGCATGCTGTAGAAAAGGATCCTTGCTCTCTCTGTGGAAGCAGTGGTCTCTCAGCAGAGGTCCGATACACCTGTTGCTGAGTCAGATCTATACCTCTCTACTTAGTAGGGAGAATGAGCTTTGCTGGCTGCAGAGCCAGAGGTCTGACTCGGCAGAGGGTATTTTGGACCTCTGCAGACCACAAGAGTCATTCTCTGCAGTGTACTGGCAATGGCAGTTGTTTCTATTCTGACTGTGGGTGCTTACTAAAGAAATTAGCCTGTAAGACTTTGAGTGCCTTTTCTTTTAGCGCACCAGGAGTGGACTTTGATGATTTAAACTGAAAGTTTGTTTGTGTTAAAAATTGTCAATACGCTGCAAAGAGCAGCTACAGAGAGGGACTGCTACTTTTTATTAGGGGCTTTGATAGAAGAACATTTGTCATTGTTGAAACATGTAAAGCTACTACCACTTCCATTTTTTAAATAACCCAATTTATTGGCCAATGAGGTGACAAACCAAAACACCTGGAAAACCAAGCATTACAGGTAAATATAACATATCAAGTGCCAAAGTTGTAAGATTTGCCAAAGAAAAACATTAAAAGACAAGCACGCCAGTACATTTATTTATGTAAAGATTTCTCTATAAAGTGTGTTTTGATTAAGAGACACAAAGAAATCAAGATACAAGATAAAAATATGGACATAGGAAGATGCAAAGCAGATGCCACTTACAAATGCACTGTGCACAGTAAAGAAACAAGGGGTATAAATAGAACAGAGTTGAAATAGCACTGACAGATACAGCTGTGTACAGAATGCCGATGTGGCACACACATGTTCTTCTTTACTCACTCGCTTGAGAAAAGTAGCAGTAAGTAATCATTAAATGGAAGCAGTAAATACCTGAAGTACTCACAGCTGTAGAATATGGGTTGTGAACTCCAGTGTTTTCAGCCCAGCAGCCACATCCATACAGAGCAGCCTGTACACAAGACAATAGAAAACAATTAAAGCCAAAATCCAAACCAAATTTAATCCAGTTATGCATTTCTTAAAAAAAAACCCCAAAAACCCAAATTTTATTTTTTATCAATTGATCTATCATAAGTAACTGAATCAGTGGATGTCATAACCTGCACAGGGGCATTCAGAATTGGAAAGGGAAGTATTAGGAAACAAGCAAGTCTCTAATGATTTGAACCAGTTTCTTTGTCTAATATAGTGAACATTTTTACACGAGGGGAGAATTAAGTGATGCACTCAGCTTTTGTTCCTTCAAGGTCCAATAAATAAGCTATGGTAGGCCCTAGACAGCAAGGGAGAAGAAGCACACAAATGAGGTTATCCCTTTGTACAGCTTTACAAGAAAACACAAAATATAGCTATGATTCTGTACATCACACTGTAAACAGTACTGTATTTGGATGCACCATTTGAGCTTACAGAAGTAAAACTGGATCTAATTAGTAAAACCAATTTCCTGGAGCACAGTACAGGACACGGCCTCTTTAATCATTACAACTAGGTTATTTGTACATTTTGCCTATGTGACAGGATGCTTGCAAAAAAGGAAGGCTACAATGGCATCCCCAGTCCAGTGTCCTGTACTCCAGGAAACAGATTTTAAAACAGTCAAAAACCCTATTTTCCTAGTCATACAGTACAGAACATCCAAAAGCAGTTCAACTGAGTAGTGGGCAACACAGCAAATACCACCATCAGGCCCACACAATAAATGGGTCGAGAACTATACAGATTTAGAGAGAAGCTTTAGCTCAAAACTGGCCTCAGTGAAGGCTTGAACATCCACCTGGCAGAACCTAAACTTGTGAACAAAAGCCCATCTGGCTGCCTTGCAAATCTTACAAACAGAAGTTTGATACTGACTAGCTCAAGGAACACTAACAGATCTGGCAGTGTGCTTTAACAGGGAAGGAAGGAACTCTGTACATCAGACTATAGGTTCTAATTACAACTTGTCTGATCCACCTAGCAATGGTTGAGCAACAGGCAAAAAGACCCTAGTGAGAACCTTCAGAGGCCACAAAGAGGAAATCCGATTTCCTAAAAGCGGCTGAAGCAGAGAGGTAATATCAAACAGTGTGCACCATGTGCAGAAAGTGAAGAGAAATTTCCCTGGGATGTTTCAGAGCAGGAAATAAGGCCAATATCAGGACTAAGGTGGGAGGCAAGGCAGTGTTCAGGAGGTCTTATTCATCAAGACATCTTTGTCTTTGTATAACACAAAGAAAGGCTACTTGCAGAATTTTTGTTTTAAACGCAGACTCTCCTTGCAGAGAAAATTGCTACAAGAAAGATCACCTTACAAGCAAGGTCAGACAATGGAATACCCTTAATAGGTTCAAAAGGTGGCTTCTGGAGAGCTGAGAGAACCAGACTGAAAACCCAAGTGGACACAGGAGAACAAAACAGGAAGAAATGTAAGCTACTCCCTAAACAGAAAATGAGAGGCCAACAGTCTCTGAAACAGAACAGCCAAGGCCAAGATTTGGCCTTTAATGGCAACATCTTGACCACACCAGACTGGATTAAGGACAAAATATGTTCCACAGAGTACTTTCTAGGACTAAACGTTCCCCGACTTGCACCAAGCAAAGCAGATCTTCTAGGTGTGATAGTAAACTTTGCTAGAAGCCAAATTCCTAGCCTTTAAGAGGGTAGAGATAACAAAATTTGAAAGCCATAATGTTAAAGCCAGAAACCAGAGTATCACATTCTCCTGAGCCAATTTGTTGCGATGAGGATTACTGAAATGGTCTCTTCAAGCCTGCAAAATAGACGAGGGAGAATCTGGAGGAGCAGAAAAGGCATATATCAGGCTGATCTGCCAACGCATGAGGGCCCCTTGACTGGATGCCAGATACTTATTTGGTCTCCTCCACCGTGGCAAAGGGATTGAAAGACCTCCAGGTAAAAAGATCATTGCTCCACATCTAGATGCTGATGACTGAGAAACCCCATCTACCAATTTTCCATGTCAGGGATGTGAATGGTGGACAGGCTGAAACATAAAGTTCACTCAAGAAAGGATCAAGTTTACTTCCTTTAGAGTGGCATGACTTCTGATGTCACCTTGATGATTGATGTAGGCCACAGCCAGGGCATTGTCTGACTAGGTTCTCATTGGGTTGCAGTAGAAGAGTCTAGTGCTGAAGAGACAACCAAATTGTCCTGAGTTCCAGAATATTAATCAGAAAGCAAGATTCCTCTGACAAATAAGTCTCCTACACACCGACAGGGAGATCAGGCCTGCTCCTCAGTCTGACAGGCTGGCTTCCGTGAGAACAACCTTCCATGACAGTGGAAAAAAAAGGGCTTCCCTAAATTCATAGCGAGGTTGGAAATACAGATAATGTGATCCTCCTGCGCTTCTAATATATTAGTGATAAACCTCATATAAGCTGCTAACACCCAAACCTAAACCCTATAGGTGTGAATGCAAAATTGTATAAATAAATTGGTGTAGCGCTAATCAATATATCACATATGAATAAACATACATAAAGACATATAAATTTAAAATAATAAATATAATGATAAATACAAAGTGATCTGATCCAGTCGGGATCTATTTGTGACACACATAAACGTGACACAGAAACGTGAAAAAACAAATTGGTTCCAATAGGACCCAATATGGTTTCAAAACACATTGTGACTCCTACTATTGTGACACTTCTATCTTGGAAGAGTACAACATCAACTGGACACAGAAGCTTGGGGCCTTCACACATGAGGATGCAGAGACAGTTTTTCCCCAAGGCAGAAAGGTTCTGGACAGAGCCGTGTCAGGCATAACAACCAAATACTACAATCTGTGAGATGCATCCAGCAATGGCTTTTTAGGTTGAGTATCCAACTGAAGCTCAGCATGTACAGTTGCAAGAAAAAGTATGTGAACCCCTTGGGATTACGTGGAGTTTTGCATGAATTGGGCATAAAATGTGCTCTGAACGTCATCTAAGTCACAACAATAGAAGAACACAGTCTGCTGAAGATAATACTACACAAACATTAGATGTTGCCATGGTTTAATTGCACATAACATGTAAACATTCACAGTGCAGGGAGGAAAAAGTATGTGAACCTTTGGACTTAATAACTGGTTGACCCTCCTTTGGCAGCAATAACCTCAACCAAACGTTTCCTGTAGTTGCAGATCAGACCTGCACAACGATCTGGAGTAATTTTGGACCACTCCTCTTCACAAAACTGTTTCAGTGTAGCAATATTCTTGGGATGTCCGGAGTGAATCGCTCTCTTAAGGTCATGCCACAGCATTTCAATCAGGTTGAGGTCAGGACTCTGACTGGGCCACTCCAGAAGGCGTATTCTGTGCTGTTGCAGCCATTGTTTTGTTGAATTACTTGTATGCTTTGGGTCATTGTCCTGTTGCATCACCCATCCTCTGCGGAGCTTCAGTTGGTGGACAGATGGTCGTATGTTTTCCTGCAAAATGTCTTGATAAACTCTGGAATTCATTTTCCCATCAGTGACAACAATCCGTCCAGGCCCTGAGGCAGCAAAGCAGCCCCAAACCATGATGCTCCCTCCGCCATGTTTTACAGTGGGGATGAGGTTTTGATGTTGGTGCGCTGTGCCTTTTTTTTTCTCCACACATAGTGTTGTGTGTTCTTCCCAAACAACTCAATCTTGGTTTCATCTGTCCACAGTATATTTTGCCAGTAGTGCTGTGGAACATCCAGGTGCTCTTTTGCAAACTTCAAACGTGCTGCAATATTCCTTTAAGACAGCAATGGCTTCCTCCGTGGTGTCCTCCCATGTACTCCATTCTTGTTTAATGTTTTCCTTATTGTAGATGTGTCAACAAAAATGTTAGCATGTGCCAGAGATTTCTGTAGGTCTTTAGCTGACACTCTGGGATTCTTCTTTACCTCATGCAGCATTCTGCGCTGTGCTCTTGCAGTCATTTTTACAGGACCACCACGCCTAGGGAGAGTAGCAACAGTGCTAAACTTTCTCCATTTGTAGACAGTCTGTCTTACCGTGGACACATGAACATCAAGGCTTTTGGAGATACTTTTGTAACCCTTTCCAGCTTCATGCAAGTCAACAATTCTTGATCGTAGGTCTTCTGAGAGCTCTTTTCTGCAAGGCATGGTTCACATCAGACAGTGCTTGTTGAAACCAGTAAACCCAAAACAGGTGTGTGTTTTTAAGGACAGGACAGCTGTCAGCAACACATCCAATATCATCACACTGATTGGAGTCAAGGTTGGCTCACTCCTGGCTCCAATTAGCTCTGGGAGAAGTCATTAAGCTAGGGCCTCACATACTTTTTCCTCCCTGCACTGTGAATGTTTACATGTTATGTGCAATTAAACCATGGCAACATCTAATGTTTGTGTAGTATTATGTTCAGCAGACTGTGTTATTCTATTGTTGTGACTTAGATGACGTTCAGAGCACATTTTATGTCCAATTCATGCAAAACTCCACGTAATCCCAATGGGTTCACATACTTTTTCTTGCAACTGTAAAAGGCATCTTAAAATTCTGGTAAGCTTGTCTACTGGGCACATGAGGGTCTTTCTGAGATAAACTGCCAGATCCACTGAAGATATACCCCATTTCTTTGTGAGCTTAAATTAAGTGAACTTAAATTCCATGAGAAAACATTTCTGGTGGAAGGAACACCTTTCAGGATAAGCCCAGTCTAAGCACAAAACACCCTCCAAGTGAGGAAGTACAGGAAAGGATTGAGGATGTTGTGGCAGACGCCATGATCCAAATCCTGTAAACTTTGCAGTGGAGGACTCAGGAAGCAAAAACTGAGAATTAGTTAATTACTTCTTCCATTAAAAGAGAGCACTTCCACTTGTGACCAAGGCTGACCAAGCTGGCAAATATTCCAGAAATCTGCTGTACCAGCAAGAGCAGATGAGAACTGCTCTCTTGACACAAAGGAACTAGAGGAAGGAGTCCCAGAAATAGTGAAGA